TGGGTATTAAAAGACAGCAATATCAGAAACACTGTCCAAAACCATCTTATCCCAGAGGGTTCCAGGTGCTGGCAATTAAAGTAATGATAGTCCTTGCACAGGATGCCAAAACACATTTGTAGTCAAGTTACTTATATCTTTTTGGGCAAGCCAACTCCTACATAGCTCATGAAGCCCTGAGGCTGGCAGGGCAAGATGCAGGAGCACAAGGGAGAGAGCAGCTAATGCCACTTGCTGCAAAAACATACTCCTGCCCAAGCTGGTCCTGAGCTTCATGAGCTGTGAGGGATTGGGTGAGGGGATTGTGAAGACAGAAAAAAGGAAAAAGGGAATTCAGAACTGGGAGACCAGCCCAGCAAAGGCAGAAAGCAGGTGGTTCATTAGAGGTCTGAGGCTGGCTCTAGGCTGCTGGAGGCAGGTGACCTATTTCCACACGCCCCACCATCCCCAATGACTCTGGGGTTGAGGAGCAAGTCAACTTGAAAGGCTTCTGGTGAGTCAAACTTACCAGAGTCCTATGTATTTAGCCAGAAATCTAAAGATAAAAATCAGAGATTATCATTGAAATGTCCACAAGGCCAGGCAAGTTGGGAGGGGAGAGAGCCCACTGCTCTGCACGGAGCCCACTGCACTTAGCCCCCTTCTGGTTGCTATCCTGTGGAAAGTCATCTCAGGAATGCCAGATCTTTTGATTTTTTAAAAAGCCAGAAATCCAGATTTGTATGTAAAATCTCCCAATGTATGAATGGTATAGTACCCAAAACAGACACAGACATGATGTGAACAAAGCAAAACACAGCTGCACACCTGCTGTCGGATCCTGGATCACAGTAACCTGCTTCTCAGCGGGGAAAGCCCAAAGACTTGGAGCCCCAGGGAGGAGAGGGAAGGCTCACCCAAGGTCTCGAAGCTGGCATGTACAGAGCCTGGGCTCAAACCTGGAATTCTGACTCCAAGCCCAGTGCTCCCTCTACCAGTGGGCCTACAATAGAAGACTGACCTTTTTGAGGTATTTCTATGCTTGACAAATGCCAGGGAGTTGTTCTTTAGTTCATCTTCCCCAAGTAGGTGACAGAACAGGGCCAGAGGATAACAGGAAGGCCCCAGGCTTCCCCTGCAAAACCCAGGGCTCCTGGAAAATGGGGTATGTGTTTTGCCATTGGTGTAGGTCCATCTACTACTGGGGCAGCCTGCCTGGCCCCAGCCCTGGGGACGTACTGGTGAGGTTCTCGGTAGGTCTGCGGGGGGACGGAGAGCTTTGAGTCTACCCTGCTCCCCAGCAGTTTGTGTTCCTTCCTTCATCCTCCTTTTTTCCTATTTTAAAATAATGTTCATAGCAGTAGCCTTGGAAAATTTAGACAAACACCAAAATTAAAACTCCCTATAATAAAACCATCTGGCACTCTCACTGCATCAGCTTCAACCCCACCCACCCCCTGCTCCCTTCTGTGTTCTGTGCTGTGGACAGCAGGGGGGGGAGCCTGAGTTGCAGGAGCGCACAGAAGGGCTTTTCTAATAACCATTTTGCATTTACTCCCTCTTGAGCATTTCCCCCCATGCTGAATTTTTTTTCATCCCAGCATCTTTGTGGGCACCCAGAGGATTTTATTATCTGGATGCGTTAGAATTCATTTATTTGGCCTTGCCCTTGCTCTTGGACATAGCCGTTGTCTTCAGTTCCCTGGTCCACGTACCAGTGCTCTGAATGTCCTTCTGCTTCAGTATGTAGATCCTCCAGTGACTTATGCCACGTAAATTCCTAGATGTGGAATTGGTCAGACAGATGGTGGGAAAGTCTTTATGGCCTTTGATACATTTTTCACAGTCTATTCTTGAGACATACCCTGGGAGAGCCAAGAATGTTATCTGCTGATGAGGATTTCAGGGAGGCCTGTGTGCCTGCGCCCTGTCCCATGATCGCTGGCTTATCTGTGTGTTTGCTCATCCTTGGTGTCCTGTGTGTATTTGGTTTATGCCCAGAGGGGCTGACACCTCTGCCAAAGCTAGTTCATCAAGGACTGCTGTGCTGAGATGAAGCAAGAACCAAGGGGTAGGCTCTCTGGCCACAGCACTCGTCCTAAATTTTCTCCAGGGTCCTCCCGACCTTTTGACACATCCAGCCAACTCTTAAAAGCAGTTTCCACCTCAATTTGGGGAAAGCCCTTGAAATTTCAGTGGAGGCCTAGGCACCTACCAAAAAAAATTACTATGCCTTTGTGTATCCCAGCATCATTGAGGAGGGGAGAGTGGGAAGGAGGGCAGGGGGGTTCCTAGCAGCATCAGGGAAAGGAAAGCTAGGTTGGATTTTCTCTGCTCAGCCATGGGTGGTAGAGGAGGCTATTGATTATTTTTCTGTTCTGTTCATACTCTCAGTGAGTGTGAATTTCATTGCCAATCTATGGTTTGACCCTATTCCCAAGATGAAAGAACTTTAGTATCCTGAGTGTAATATCAGCATCACATCTGCAACCCTGTAGACCTCACTCCAAATATCTTTCCGTAATAAAGGGGAGCTTTAAAAAGAGCAAGAGAGAGGACTGTGTCTTCAGGCCTGTCCTTGGCCCTGGTATGACACTCCCTGGTCCCCTGCTCACAGCTCTGATAAACAGGCAGCTCAGGAAAAACCATCTCAATGTTTTGATTTGTTAAGGAGTAATTCATTTTTAAGCCAAGTAAACAGCTTGTAAACTGGGTGTTTACCACTTTAACTGATTAAGAAATAACAGGTATAGGGGCAGCACCTGTGGCTCAGTGGGTAGGGCACCAGCCCCATATACCGAGGGTGGCGGGTTTAAACCCGGCCCCAGCCAGCTAAAACAGCAGTGACAACTGCAACAAAAAAAATAGCTGGGCATTGTGGCAGCGCCTATAGTCCCAGCTACTCAGGAGACTGAGGCAAGAGAATCACTTAAGCCCAAGAGTTAGAGGTTGCTGTGAGCTGTGACTCCATGGCACCCTAGCAAGGGCAATAAAGTGAGACTCTGTCTCAAAAAAAAAAGAAGTAACAGGTATAAAACTGATTCTATGAGGCTGTGGGAATTATCCCTAAGGACTCTTCTTGACAAGTGTTTGGACTTGCCAGTGTTTGCCACAGTTCATCCGAGTGCCCTCCTAGGACACAATATGTCACATAGCACCTCTTCCTGAGAACTCCCTATGTGAATCTTGCTATCCACTCCACAAGCAGCCTTTTCAGCAGGGGAAGGGGGACATGCCCTCTACAAAACAGATGACCCACCACACTCAGCACGCTACTCTTATCATAGGCCAGGCAGAGAAATCTTTTAGGCTTTTCCAGCTACAGGGTCTCTTTGGCAACTAACTGCTCAGCTCAGCCTCTTAGTGAGCGCTGCCAGTCTGTGTAGACACAGGGCCATGGCTGTGCTCCAGGAAGACTTCACTTACCACACAGGCAGTGGGCTCTCATTTGCTGACCCCTGCTCAATATCCTGCTGCCTTCCCGAGTGCTAAGAAAGGTAAAGTCAGGGTCGAAGGACCTTCTAGAAGTATCAGTGGGGCTAGACCAGGCGTCCTCAAACTACGTCCCATGGGCCACATGCAGCCCGCCTAGGACATTTATCTGGGCTGCTGGGTGTTTTTGCCACCACTGCCTGTCCTGCTTAGCAGCTGACTCGTCCTGGAACCCGCAGTCCGGCCCTCCAATGGTCTGAGGGACAGTGAACTGGCCCCCTGTTTAAAAAGTTTGAGGACCCCTGGGCTAGACCATGAAAGGTTCAGGCAGCCCAGGTAATAGGAATGAGGTCTGGAAATGGCTGTGGTGTGTACTCACTCAAGGAGTGACAAGGCTTGTGGGAATGGCCAGGAGGGTCAAGGTCTACTCTCTCAGCTAGAAAAATGACACCCCTCCCCATTTGATGCTGCTCCTGAATCACAGGACAAAAGCAGTGTGGTCCACAGAGCACCAAGGATCCTGCTCAGCTCCTCAGCAGGCCATAAGGCCACATGTGGCTTTCCGGATCCTTAAATGTGGCCTTGTGAATCTGCAGAGCATCTTTAAAATTTGGATTCAGTCAAAAGGCTGCCCTTAAGGATGTGGAAATTCACAGGTTCCCCACCCCGGCTGAGATCACGGTCTGTAGAAAAGCATATGTCCACCAGAAGAGGCTCCTGGACTGGGCAAGAAGGGCTTAGACTGATCCTAAGAACACGTGCTGCAGCACCCTGCATGGGTTCTCTCATTTCACTGCCACAGCAGTAGAGTCACGAGAGCAGGTAATGACACACCGAGGTCAGGTCCTGGCTAGGAAACAGACTCAGAGCAACACAAGTTTTTCACATTTCTGGTTGTCCTTGTGGGAAGCAGGGTTGTGCCCAGGCCTGACTGTCTCCAAGATATGGGGCTCATCTACCCCATGCTGGGTACAGCCCCCACGTCCAGGTCATGGCGTTGCCCCAAGGGCTACTCGAAGTTCTGCCATCAGTAGCTCTCCACCAGAGCTCTCCTTGCTCCTGAACCTGACCTCCCTAAAACTCTAAGGGCAGAGCAGGTTCTCTGTCAGGGAGACCCCCAAGGTGCTCCCCTTGTACCAGGGTGTGACCTCAGAGCTTATGTCTAGGGCCCTTCCTCTAGTGGGGCGTGAGTGGGACGGCAGAGGCGTGAGATTTTGTGTAAGATATCCAGGATCCCCATGTGAACTTGTGAGGAGCCTTGGAATCCCCAAGGCTACATGTCCCTTTTATGGGCACAGCTGGTGCATTGCTGACCCAGAACCAGGCCCATGGCCTCTGGGCTGATTGCACCCTTTTCCTTGAAATAGCCTCTCAGTGTGTCCAGGCAGCCCCATGACCAGCAAGGTCACATATTCTGGGGCAGAGCAAACCTTTCAAGGAGCTGGGACTAGGTGGTCCCCAATGTGGGTGCCCCCAGTCCTGCCTGTGAGGTGGGGGCTCACCCCATTGTCTCAAACACAGTGTGGGGGTGGCAGCCCTATTGGGCCTGCAGCTCCTGCCACTTGGTCACCTACCACCTTGCCTTGCAGGCTTCGCCGTGGCCCAGTGCATTAATCAGCACAGCTCCCCAACCATGACCTCGCAGTCACCACCATCTGCCAGCGGGAGCCCCAGCGGCAGTGGGAGCACCAGCCACTGTGACTCAGGAGGTGCCAGCTCATCCTCTACTTCCTCCACAGCCCAGAGCCCAGCAGGTATGACCACATGACTCGGTTGGGGGACAGTTGGAGGACCCCAGAACCCTCACCATTGCAGCCACAGACCCCCAGACCAACCTTGTCGCGATGTTTGGAGGATGCTGCCACCCCAGAGTGTTCTGTGTGCCTCTAGCATGGCACTGCCCATGGGCTGGGTCAGCTCCCAGCTGGGGAGGAATCACTCCTTTTTCAGGCTGGCACTGACTGCAGAGCTGCTCGGTGCCAGGCACGACACACCTAAACCCACCTCCGAAGCCCTAGGCATCATGGGAAGAGGTCTCCCAGGCGATGCTTTGCACCCTGCTCGTTTTTTTTTTCTCCATAGCCAGTTTCCCCTTTACATGTTTGGTGTAGTCCAGTTGTCCGACTCAGTGTACTTTGCCACCCCTTTGAGAGTTTGGCAGGATGCGATGGAATCACATCTTGCCAGCCTATAACTTACACCACTTCACACATGGCACAAGGGAAGCCATAAGCCGGCCTGGAGCAGCTCTCATTCTTGGCTACCATGAGCCACTAAACATGGGCACCTCACAGTGAGGGCAGTAAAGCCATCAGGCTTGTTTCTAGAACAACAGGGCCCAAAATGCAGCCAGAGGAATAGGCCCCAGGCAGGATGGGCCTTCCAGTCCTCGAATCAGTGGGATTCCTCTTGCACAGGCCCCCCTGCGTCTGGAGGGCCTCAGCACCTCTGGACTACATCCTCAGTGCCCTTCATGGCTCCTGCAGGGTCCAACCAAGAGTCTCATATTTCAGGGCAACCTTACCTGACTCTAATTAGGGTATGGACATCTGGATCATGACAAAAGAGATGACAGGGCTGTGCCACTATAGTGTGGGGGAGATTGAGGTCCCTGGGCCACCATCCTCTCAGCCTCAGGAGCCAAGATCTCCTTGGGCACCCGCATCTCTGTCTTGGGCATTTTCAGCCTCTTGGCATCCATGCCAACAGCTCAGGGCACCTCAGCCTGCCTATGCCTTCCCACAGTGATATGTTGACATTCACAAGGCCCAGGCAGGAAGGTCACCTCTCCCCCTCACTGAGACTCTTCACCACTCAGCACCTGCCCCAAGCTGGGGGAAGGGGACTGCCCCTTCCAGGCCGTATCTGAGCCTGATTTAAGGTTGACTGCACATCTAAGCAGTAGCCACACTGCTCCCAGCCTCATTCCTGGGAAGTGCAGCTGAGCTTCCTCCAGAAGCCAAGAGCAACCTTCAGTGTCCCTCTTCATCCTCTTCTCCTGCGTGCTTGGAGACAGGGGTGCCGGGGTCTGGTTCACGTGCTTGTGTGCATCCACTTTACGGCTGCCTATGTACGTTTCTGTAGCTGTATGTGCACCCAGACACACACATTTACCTTTGCATTTGGGATAAAAGGTCGCTTTCAGATGTAGCTACAGACACCTTTCTTTGATTTTTAAAAAGGCACAGCCAACGTCTAAGTAAACAAATGAGCTACACACTTCTTTGCCTAAAATTGAAACCAACAAGGACTGACATTATCAAAATTGGGCCTCTGTATACACCTAAACATGACAGCCAGGGCTTTGACCTTGCACCTCCCCCCAGAGGCTGGTCTCTGCAGCAGGTACTGGTTTCTTTTCTCTGGACCTCCCTCAGCCCCTCTGTCCCTAACCCACCATTCCCTGAACAGTGCCAATGATGTATCTTCTCATTTCAGAAATCCAGGGGCTATTAGCTTGGCTGTCAGGTGGCCAGGCAGTTGCAGTCGATAAGTGATAGCCATGCCCTCCAAGGTGCCTGCTCCCACCCAGTGCGTCCCCGGCAGGCTGGTTGAGGCAAGTGTGCAGGTCCTCATTTTTTATGTTGCATGACAGTAAAAGCCTGAGGCCCAGCCTGCAGACACAGTATAACTCACTCCTGATGAAGGGCCTGCCTGGCAGCAGTATGTGCTTTACTCTTACGGACGCCTTGGGATGTAGCTATTGATCCCTAGAAGGAGAGCACATCAGAACCCACGAGCTCCTTCTGTCTTACTGCCAGACTTCCAAGCCAGCTTCAGCCTCCCCTATCCATCCAGAATAGTGGTTCTCAACCTATGGGCTGCAACCCTTTTGTAACAATAAAATACATCCTGAATATCAGATATTTACATTACGATTCATAACAGTAGCAAAATTAGTTATGAAATAGCAATGAAAATAATTTCATGATTGGGAGGCAGCACCTATGGCTCAGTGAGTAGGGTGCCGGCCCCATATACCAAGGGTGGCGTGTTCAAACCTGGCCCCAG